ATGCAGAGTCTCACTGCACCTCTAGCGGTATTGTCAATATTTTAGAGCTTTGAAGTTCTCTCTAGAAATATTTTCACACTTAGGGACATATGGAGAATTATGAAGTTTAATAGGTGTCAGAAAATTTACAAATATTTAAAATGTGGTGAGGGATTAAAACACACCCTTTATCATAATGGCATTTTATTTTGTTTTATTTGTAAATGTTACCCTAAGGAACTCCTACTTGCACATTCCAATTCACTTGTATTAATATTATTCATACTCAGTGGCAGTATTTGAAATCTATAAAATGACCTTTAAAACAAGGAAAAAGATTACTGTTAGTTCTGACACCACAAGATGTGGCAATGTCACTGTGACTTAGCAGACCATGATTTTATTAAATAATCTAACTTTAGTGGGCTCAGGTCATTGGAGGAAGCGATATCTAATGAAGGCATTAATATTTACTCCTACCCATCTTCCAGCTGAGATCCCATGGTGTGAGAGCACCAGGTTAATTGAGTTTTATCGCAAAATCTCTAGGCCACTTTAGAAATTACAGTAAGGCACATTCCCTAAGGTCTGATCTATATAAAGTGAGAAAATAGAAGGAGAAATGAGAAATGCCTAACCAGGTTCCACTGACATTGCCAACACTGGTACTTATTAAAAGATTGGCCAACTGAGAAGTGATTTTCTCAGAAAAAAATTAGGAGTCACTTTTTTTCTAATTCATTCTCAGAAAAACGAAGAGAAGAGCAGTACTTGCCGTAACAGAAAAATCACAAGAATACACAAATGCTAATTTTTCTTTAATCCACAACCTCTGTATTTATCCTCTTTTTTCCCATAATGTACATATATGAATATAGATATAAGTATAGGGCAGGAAAGTATAAGGGTCACTCTTTCACCTCTGTTACCCACTCTTTGAACTCTTCAGGGTAAAATGTAAATTAAAAGACAGTATTTATGCTCTTACCTTGTGAATTAATCTCAGCTGAAAGAGATAAATTGAGGACAGGCTATTCCTACCAGATAGTGGCACAGGCTAAGAGCAAACTACAGTAACAAACACAATGCAAAACTATCATTAATTTGATTCCCACTATCAACTAGGAATCATTCCAGTTCCGTATATGACTTTGCTCTATTCCATGGTGATATAAAAACGAGCTTGGATACCCCCATTCTACAGACACAGAAGCTGAAGAACAAGGCTATTCATACATGCTCACAGGCTCACAGCTACTGTGGTGTAGAGTTCAGATTTAATCCTGCCCTCTGTCTTTGAAGGCTGTGTTGGAAACAGACTTACAGATCTCTCACCCAGAAGTCTCCATTGGTGAAATGAGCACCTGGAGACAGGAGGAGGCCACATGCCCCCAGATCCCAGTGAGTTTTCATCCTAGGAAAAGAGCTCTGAACTGAAGTGTGGACACCAAAGCTCTGTCACCGCTGCTTCCCCCGGTGTGTGCAGTTCTGCCTTCATGTGTGTACAGAATGGCGTTGTCTAAGGCATTTAGTAGTACTTTTCCAACGCTGCTAGACTGTAAATCACATGAACGCAGGGAATATTTGCAGCTCATGACTATATTAATTAATTAATTAATTAGTTCTAACAAATTTTAGAAATCCAGTAAAGACCATTTGAAAATTACCAGTACATGCTTAGGTCAGAAAATGTGCTTATTACTGTTAAAAGGAAGCAAACATCAAGGATCCAGCCCCAGCCCTTGCAAATATGACTCCAAAGTTTGATTTCACTAGACCTCTGAAATCTTGCAGCCAGAACTCAAACCCAATCCAGCCCCCTGTTCTCTGAAATTAAAATTTAGATCTTTCCCCTGAAAAGCGTTTTTCTATGGCTGCCAGCTGAATGAGAGGATTATGCAGCTGTGGCAGCAAGCCTGTAGATCTCTAAATCTACTTTTCTTCCACTGCATTAAAAGCAGATGCATACTTGCCTTTCATTTCCACTAGATTAGAGCTTTGTGGAGGTTGGGGAGATAACTTACTCACTTTGTCACTTCCAGAATTTGGCATCTTTATATACATTTTCGGAGTGCTGCTTGCATGACTACATGGCCAGATCATAGTGAGAGCTTTGGGTTCACATTCGTCAATAAAAAGGGAATCACAGCTGGAACAGATGCAAGAGGCTGCACAGAAAGAGCAGCGCCCTGTTAAGAAACACACGGCCCAGTCAGGGGTCAGGGGTCAGCTCATCTGTCTGTTAATGGTACAAACCAATTGCTGCCCTTCTTGACAGTATTTGATGTGTGTGTGTGTGTGTGTGTGTGTGTGTGTGTGTGTGTGTGTACATAAAGTTTACTACCGCAGTGATCAACAGGAGAATATGGAAGGTGGTGGAGAACAAATAGGACAAAACAATGATTTATGTGCCTGAAAACGTCACAGTAGAGCCAATTTCTTTGCATAACTAACCAAAAATAAATGTTAAATACGGCTTTCTAATTCTCTACTAATTATACTTGCCTAGATTAAAAACTCAAGCTCACATTTTTATATTTATTTCATATTTCAGTAGTATCTGGGATGTTTTTCTGTGTTATTACTTGTTCACTGGCAAGGCAGGATGTTCAGACATAATGGGAAAGCTGCTCTGGAATGAAGACACTCAGAAGTTAGGACATAAAGGAAAGTCCCTCATTCTGTTTCACTACCTGACACACCTGAGTGCTACCTGCAACTTACATTTGCTCCCTGGTTCTAAAGGAGATTTAATGTCTCTCCACCATCTCTTCTCAAGTACTTTGCTCAAAAGTGGCTAGCTATTTCCATGTAAACTTGTTCTGCCTTCTCAGGCTGTGGAACAGCAGGGGCTAAAGGATACGGATCTCTTCTCAGCTCCTGGTGGGCTAGAACACAGAGCATGCTCGTTTTAAGTGTGGAAAGCATCTGAAAAAATATTTTTCTTGACTTTCAGAAAAAGTATAATTACAATTTTACAGTAGAGAAATGTTAAACTTAATTTGATACTTTAGCAGCTAACATGTTATTTCTAAATCATGGAAATGTTTCTACATCCCAAAATATCTGTGTGAGGCAGTGAAGTGATTTTAAGTAATTTTAATTATGAGAAAGCTTACTGGTAAAGACCTGACTTTCATCTTATATTTAGTTAGCAGGCATTAACATAATATTATGTTATGAACAATATTCTGATTCTTAAAAGTATCCCAAGCTTGGTGCTGGAGACGTGGATCAACAGGTGAGAACAATGGCTACTCTTCCAGAGGACCTGCATTCAACTTCCAGCAGCATCTAACAGCTTACTACCAGGTGTAACCCTGGCTCCAGGAGATCTGGTATTTTTTTTCTGGCCTATATAGGCACCAGGTGTGAATGTGGTGCACACAGTTATATGCAGGCCAAACACCCATATGCATCAAATAAAACATTTTAAAAAATATCTGTCATTTTTAGCAACTTGTTCAGTTCAGTTTATACTAAGAGATGCAAAAATTCAATGTCTATTTTAAACTCACTATATTTAGATTGTTTTCCAAAATTATGCATTAAAATTATTATCTATATTAATTATGCACTAAAATTATTATCTGTATTAGTGTTCTTTAGAGGAGCATAACTGATAGAATGAATATATATATATATATGTGTATATATATATATATATATATATATATATATATATATATATATATATATATATATATGGGATTTATTAGAATGAGTTATAGGCTGTGGTCCGGCTAGTCCAACAATGGAAGTCTAACAATGGAAGGTCCAAAAATATAGTAATTGTTCAGTTCATGAGGCTGGATGTCTCAGCTGGTCTTCAGTATACACCAGAACCCCAAAGAAGTAGGCTCTAATGCCAGTGAAGAATGGACCTGCCAGTGAGAGCAAGCAGGCAAAGAGAACGAGCTTCCTTCTTCCAGGCCCTTTATGCAGGCTGCCGCCAGAAGCTACATCCTGATCCACAGTCATCAGGCAGAGAGAGACTGGGCCTGTCATGGCCCTTTGAAACCTCAAAGCCCACCCTAGTGGCACCTTTCCTCCAACAAGACCGTACCTCCTAATCCTTGTAATCCTTTCAAATAGTTCTACTCCCTTGTGACCAAGTATTCAAAATGTGATCCTATGGGGACCGTTCTCATTCACATCACCACATTATTTTCTGAGCATGTGATAGCTCAATCTATTTCAGATGCTATACACACTTTTTTCTTTTCTTAATATAGCACAGCTTAGGAATTTAAATAAAATGCAAATAAAATATTTCTCAATAATGAACAAAAGTGGGAGTTTCATAATATCATTTCTATTTGATGTTAACTTAGAGAATTATATAACAAAACATATATAATGAATTCTATCGAGATTTTTTTACATTTATTAGTTAATTGAGGACTTTTGGAGAAGCTAAGGTGTAATTTTAGTGTAAATAAGACGTGTGCCATGGTAGAAACTCCTGGTATGGTGTGACGCTTTCAGCCAGGGAAGTTCCTGTCCCGGTTTATTTATCTTTGCAGCTGTAAAACATAAGCGGGGATAATTTTCCCAATACAGTAATAAAGAAGGCACTGAATTACCCTACATGGAATGGATTAAAACAAACTTGAAGTACATCCAAATACTCCTGCAAAGAGTGTATGTGAGGCTGGGTCTTTAAATATTTTCTTCCCCCTCCCCCTCTCTTTCCCTCTCTCCTTCCCTCCCTCCCTAGTCCCTGCATCCTTCCTTCCTCCCATCCCCCATTTTCTATCTTCCCTTGCTCTCCTTTTTCTATTTCTACTTCACATCTTTTCTTCACTCATAACGGGACATATTACAACCAGGAAGGTTTCATAAAATATTCCAAAACCTAACATTTAGCCTTTAATGTTTTTTTTTTCATTTTCAATTCTAGTTTGAATTAAATTGTAGCACATTCCAACAATATACCCAGAAGAAACTGTTTTAATACGAAAAAAAGCATCAGTCAGGGGCCTTGGGTGTGAATCTGTGTTCCGTTTCCTTTTTTGCAGAGAACTCTGAAGCTCTTTCCAGTGTTCCTACTTCGTATGCTGCTTTGCTAAGAATTAAGAAGAGTTCAGCCTCATCTGCCTTTGGTTCCAAGACCAGACCACGGTACAGCAGTCCTTCCTTGGGAACCCTGAGTGTTTCTCCACCCAGCTGGCGAGGTGCAGCTCAGCTGTACCACTCCCCAGTCAACCTTTACCATTCCTCAGATGCCTTCAGACAAGATGGTAAGTGCAGAAAAAGTACAAAATAGTGTTAGTCATGCAAGGAAGACATCCTAAATGACTGTTAGGAAAGGTCTCAAGCCTTTTGCAGTGACCAGAGGGTTGGGCTTTGCTGTGTTGTAGGGGAGATAGATTCAGCTTTGGGAAAGCTGGTGGAGTTCAGAGAGTTTGTCCTCAGTGTGTCGAGAGCATCTGTGGGTGCTAAGTGGTGTATTTAGGAGAATTGGGGAGATGGACTTCTTGTTCCCTAATTGTCTGCATTTCAAATAGGTAGCTCTCCGAGTCTTACACATATTCCTATTTGTAGAGATAACAGGAGGGTGGAAAATGATCTATGTCTTATAGGAGCAGGCACTGAATTTACAAATGCAACTCTTTAAACTGCAATGTTGGAAGGCAAAAGGAAGTCTGCAGTCTGTGGGACAGAAGAAAGGCCCCTGAGTGGAGGAGCCTGTCAAAGTTTTTGCCTTCTATTCTAATGATCTCTCAAGATTCTTGATAAAATTAATTGCTAATTGTACTCACTACCAGCAGTTATTTAAAACTAAATTTCAGAACTATTAGTTTGAAAGTAAAAGCACATTTTTTTTTTTTGGAATGGCAATTTGTCCATAAGTATCAGTAGCCCTACAGCAGACATACTGGGTATTGGAGAGGTGGTTCAGTGGTTAAAAATGTGTAATGCTCTTACAGGGGACCTCAGTTCTGTTCTCAGAATGCACATCAAGCTGCTTACAATTGCTTGTAACACCAGCTTCAAACTCCAGTACAGAGGAATGCAATGTCTCTGGGCACTCGCACACATGTGCACAGACCCACACAAAGACATACACATATTCATAATTTAAAATACAATAAATGTTCAAATAAATGAAATAAACTTGTCAAGTGTATTGGTTTTATTTCTAGATTTTTCGTTAGTAAAATAGTGTTAAATATAATGCATCACATATCCTAAGATTGTATGCTTATATTTAACTTTATTTTTGAGTGATAAATAAATAACCCAGTTGTCACACTTAGACACCAGTTAAATTAAGGACCACTGTACTGTTATTAACATTATGGACTGAAAAGCATTTTCAAGTTGCTCCCTGAATCTGTCATTAGTAGACACATTACAAAATGAGGTTAACTAGCGCAGAGGGATGGCTCCTGCCAGAGATTATTAGCAGACACAATTCCATGATTTAAAATAGCTTGTCTCACTCAATTTCTCCAAGACATGTGTGATGTGGATACTGTTGACACCTTCCGTAGGAATGACAACACAGGGGTGTGTGTATCTCTCTCAGCACCCCTTACTGGGCTCTATGCCCAGTTTTCCTTTGTGCCCTTACGGTTTTTAAGAGCAATACTGAAAGGCATTCGGTAATTCATTATTGACGGAGGTATTTGAAGACACACTTTCCAAGAACTTTATGTCAAAGATTAAACTATCAACTTAGGCTGTGTTGCCATGTATAAGCAAAGTCATTATTCATAATCATAAAAATCATTCCTCTGTAAGGCAGTCACGCCATGATGCCAGTCTTTATGGTTTATCCACACAGGGTGATTGGATGGTAAATGTATGTTCAATGTCAAAATACTTGACATGGGTTTTAAAAGTCCCATTGCATTATATTTAATTTCCTTTCTTACTGTTATTAAATCTGTACATGTATATAGTGCATTCTGATTGCTGTCCACCCTCACTGTCTCTAACCGACTCCCAACCCCTTTAATCCCCATTTGCTTTATCACATTCATATATTTTTGTTTTGTAATTGCTGAGTGTAACCAGTTGCCTGTGTGACTGTGGATTTGGAACTCACCATTAAAGCCCACTGGGCTCATCAGTGAGTATGTCACTGGCAACAGTATCATAATCAGACAGATATTCATCAAGATTAATACTTTTGAGGACATTGTTATGGGGTTTTTTAGAAGGTATTGAGAGTTCAGTAACACAAGCTTTGTATATTTGTCTTAATTTCCTATAAACTTCTAGATAGCTGGTATGTTCTCTTGCAGCTAATGGAAGTTAAGGTACCTCTCAAATATAACTGAAATATAGACAGAAAATCTGAAATAAAATAAATGCAAATTTCAAAATCAATATGCATAAGGGCATAAGCTAGAGCCAGGCACCTTCAAAGTGTCTGTTGTAAATACCTCTCTTCACAATATACATACATATATGTATGTATATGTGTGTGTCTGTCTGTATGTGTGTGTATATAAATAACTGTATAACTTATATGTAAGTATCTATATACCTTTATACCTGCTGTGTCGAGTCCCATTTTGGACTAAGTAGGGAGCAAATGTATTAATCAGGGCCTCTCTTAGAGAAAACAGAGTAGATAGAATGAGGAAGTAGACTCTAATGCCAGTGAAGGAGTAGACTTGCCATTGAGAGTGAGGGCTAGCCTGTGAAGGCAAGCTCTTCCTTCTTCCATGTCTTTTTACAGGCTGCCACCAGGAGGTGTGGTGCAGATTTAAGGTGGGTCTTCACACCTCAACTGATCCATTTAAGAAAAATTCCTCACAGGTGTACCCAGCAGCTTGTGTTACAGTTAATTTAAGATGTAGTCATGTTGACCATCAAAAGTTCAAATGAAATAGCTTTACTCTTTCTGACAAAAGAAACACTTTTCTGCATTGATCTCATTATGAGTTTCTTACTTTGTACAATGCCCTGTAGCTCAAACATTACTACAAAAACATCGATGTTATTTATCCCATTCAACATTGGCTAATGAGATCCAAGTAAGGACAAAGTGATTTTGTGTATCTGCTCTCCTTAGTCTCAGTCACATACACACACCAACTGGGGATCTTGTTAAAGTACAGACTCCTTTTCAGCACTCAAGCAGAGGGTACAGCACTTCATTCACAAGAAGTTCCAATATTCCTATCAGTGGCTCTGTATTGTGGATTATGCTTTAAGTGAAAAACAAGTCTCTAGTCTGGGATCCAATCCAATCTAATTTAAATCTTCTTCCAATGTAGTTTAATCCACATTTCAGAATAACCAAGAGACAATTCCAAGGCCTTTCCCTGACTCTTGCTTTTCCCTCTGAGTATTTGATAGATCTCAGCTGGCTGGATGTGACTCTGAGCTCTTTCTCCTGGAAAGGAGTCTGACGTATGGCTCTTGTCAGGTCATTCCCTTTAGCTTTGATAGAGAGTAAACCTGAGGTTGACATGCTCTTGTGAAAAATGTGAAAGGTAACAGAGTCTGAAAAGGAAGCCATCCTGATCCTGCCCAGAGTCAAGCCAGAAGGATGTGGCACAGTTTTTTTCTGATAAATCTAAAATCCCAGTTTGCTCAAAAAAATGTAGAAACATTTCAACTCTGTAGTAAACATCCAGCTGAAACTCACACACACACACACAAGCAAATTTAGACTATGTTCATTGCAATATATGCATCATAACAGATACTGGAAAACTTGCAAAATTTTTCCCACCCCATGGAAAACTAAGACTACTAAAATGAATAATTCATCTTTATGTGATAGAATGGTTATACCTAAAATATGATGGTGGTTATAAAGGCAGTGTGATGTCATCTCCTTAAAGTGATTAAAATGTGATGTGAGGGGCTGGAAAGACGGCTCAAACATGAAGTGCTCTGGCTGCTCTCCCAGAGGACCTGCATTTTTTCCTAGCATCCATATCTAACATCTTACAAACACCTCTAACTCCAGCTCTAAGGGATCCCGTGACCTTCTCTGGACTCTGTGGGCACCTGCACACATATGGTATACATTCACACAGATATATTTAGATAAATAAAAATAAAATTTAAATATATATATATATATATGTGTGTGTGTGTGTGTGTGTGTGTGTGTGTGTGTACATATAGGACAGTAATTTATGTATATGGTTCAATTTTAAAGCATGGCAGAAAAACTAGACTAAAGTACTTTCCACTCTGGATAAAGGGAGAAACAGGGAAGCTGTACCAGGAGAGAAATATAGGAGACGTTTTCTTAATGCTATTTTGCCTCTTAAAAGATATATGTCTGCTGCAGTAGCTCAGTGGTCAATACCTGCCTAGCATGCACAAATCTCTGGGTGTCAACACTCTTGAAGCAGTAGCACATGAAAGAATGGAGCAATCACATGCAGACTAAAGTCTCATGCAATGGCCCACTTTATTCACAGCCCCAGACAAATTATCCCCTGGGAGTTAATAAGAATCACCAGAATAAAGTTTGCACTCACAAGGGTAAGCTGCACATGGCAGACAAGCCACACATGTCAAAAACACGTTTTTAAAAGGCATATGAACAAATAACAAGAGCCAGTTTAATGAATAATCTGAAGTACACTCACTCTTGCTACACCAAAAGCCCAGAGACACATTCCAAGAATAATTCCATGCTTTGAAGAAATCGAGGTCAAGAGATTCTTGTCTTGTTTTCCTGGAATTTTCTCACAAGCACTCACACAACTACATTCTTAGACAGTGTTCTGACCCCTGGTTCAATCCTCAGTGCCACAAGAGAATATAAACCAAATATGTAGATACCAATAGGCATCTAAAATGACCCCCAGTGACTCCTCAGCCTCCTGTGTTTAACCTCTCCCCTGCTCCTGTGGCCCTGGCTGTGACCTGGCTTCTAGAGAGCTGAGACACAGTACAAAAGCTGACCAGAAACACCATACTACAAAAGACTCTGCTTCCTCTTTTCTTGTCTTTTTGCTGTTGTTGTATTGTTCAAAGATGTCAGTCCGTCCTCAGAGCTGCCCATCAGCTAAGACAATTAACAATAAATGAGATACAGCATCTGAGAATTTCCCAGGAACTCAATCCTGGGGACAATGATTTGAGAAGACTCACAGGTGAATCTATGCCCCTTAGAGCATCAGGATCAGTCTCTTGTCTGCCTTGTGAAAGGCAGAGAGTCTTAGGTGAACCAAATTAAACCTCCCGGTGTGGAAATAAACACTTCCCTTTCTCCACACTGTGGGGGTCATCCCACCCTGACCACACTTCTCTATTC